AATGTAGGAGTGTTGAGGGAAGGACCCTTAGAGGTGATTCATGGGGTCTGCCCACATGAATGGATTAATGCCATTGTTTCATAAGTGGATTCCTCTGATAAACAAATTTAACTCCTTCCTTTTCTCTTTTCCCTGCCCTTCCACTGGGGCTGGAGGGTGGCACAGCAGTTAAGAGTACTTGCTGTTCTTCCAAAGGACTTGAGTTTGGTTCCCAGCACCAGAGTGGGCCTGCTTCTTACAAATGTCAGTGACTCCAGCTCCAGGGAATCTGTCACCATCTTCTGTCCTCTTTGGCCTCTTGTATATACACAGAGATGCAAATCAATGTGGTGATACATTGTGTACCCTAATAAAATTTGCCTGAAGATAAGAGGACAGAACAAGACACTAGATTAAACATAGAGGCCAGACAGTGGTGGCACACACCTTTAATCCTAGCACTCAGGAGGCAAAGATCCCTCTGGATCTCCATGAGTTCAAAGCCACCCTGGACTACATGAGACTGACTCAGTCTAGGAGAGAAACAGAGCCAGGTAGTGGTGGCACACACCTTTAATCCCAGCACTTGAGATCTCATGCCTTTGCTTGGGAATTACATGCCTTTAATTTTAGCACTACAAAGGAAGTGATATGAATGGCTAGGCCGAGAAAGGTATATTGAGGTGTGAGGAGACAGTAACTAAAGCCTTTCGGCTAGAGGTTTTTCTGCTGGAGAGCTTCAGAGACATTCAGTCAGAAGAATCGTAGAGATGGTGAAGTGAGACGTGGCAGTGGCTTGTTCTTTTGTCTCTCTGATCTTTCAGCATTTACCCCAATATCTGGCTACTGGGTTTTTTATTAAAAGACCAATTTAAGATTCGAGCAACACATCAGTACAATAGGAGAGGGAGGGATGAGGGAAAGTAATACTAATTTATATATAATTTAAAAGGAGTTATGCCACTTGGGCTGACAATGTTTCTCTCAAGACCCATAGATTTCTAGCAAAATCGCCAGTACCCAGCATGGGAAAGTCCCTTTTGAGTCAAGGAAGTCCAAGAGACTCCCAAAACAATACAGGCTATTTCTGTTGCCCTTAGTGGCCTCCCAGAGGTTGAAGGCAAGTCCCTATTGCTAAAGACACCACTTACTTTGGACATAGGATTCAGAGGATCTGAGCTGGATGTGACCTGAGCCTCCTCTCTGAGGACTAGCTTTCAGAGTACCTGAAGGTACTATACAGGGTACTATGCCAAGGAGGGAAGCAACCAAAAATCATACCTAGCTGTGACACCTATGAACCATAAAACTATGACCAACAGGGCAAGCAATTCCTAAGGGTGCAGTAGTAGCACTCAGATCCTGGCAGTAACCAAGCTATCTAATTGGACTCAAGCAAAAACAACCCCCAAGCTCAGAATGTGGTACCAGCCAAGTGATATCAATAAATCACCAACATTAAAGAAACCCATGAAACCAGGGAAACAGCTCAGTGGGTAGAGGCACTTGCCACCAGGCATGACAACCTGAGTTCAAGCCCTGGAACCATGTTGTGGAAGGGAGAACTGACTCTCCTAAGCTGTCCTGTCTTTCACACACATATACATAATAAGCAAATTTTTGTTGTTTGTTTTTTGTTTAAGAAAAAAAGGAAGGAAAGAACTCATGAGCTGCTGCAGATCAAAGTTAGCCAGCCATAGCCTGTGTGTAAGATGAACCTTGCAGGGAATTTTAAACAACAGCGCGCGCGTGCGCGCGCACGCGCACACACACACACACACACACACACACACACACACACACAAACCAAAACAACCAACCCAGAAAATTAAACATTATTTGAGCATATTTATGCACATTTAATATGTATCAGCCATGGCTACTTTAATATGGCAACTTCAGAGCTAGGCATTTGTTTAAAGACTTTAGGCCTGCAAAGCCCAAGTTTGTATTTGCCCCTTTACAGGGAAAGGTTGCTAAATCCTTGCCCTAGCCTGAAAGGGTCAATGAACAGATACCACTTATTTGCACAATATTTTACACAACAAACCCACATAAAAATTTGAGCATTTTGAGGTAATCTGCTAAGAGGTGATGATGACATTGTGGTTCCAGAAGAAAATGTTCCTTCTTTGAAGGTACAAACTAATTATTTAAAGGAGAACTGTTATGCCATGTAGAATAAACTGTTTTAAATCAATCACTATTTTTTTCTTGCAGTGTTGAGGGTAAAACCTAGGTTTTTGCAAATTCGAGGCAGGTGCTCTACTACTGAGCTATATTTCCAGTCTTAAATGTAGAGGCAATGGGAAAGAATGCATATCAGGCTGAACAGAATCATGAGATCTATTTAGTGACTATCTGGAAGTTCATTAGATTATTTCTATGCTTCTACCTCTGGTTAAAAATTTTCCAACTAAGGTGCTTGAGAGATAGCTCAGTGGTTAAGAGTTCTAACTGCTCTTCCAGAGGACCTGGTGTAGCTAGAGTTTTCCTGCATGGCCCACAGTCAGGACAAATCTCTCTCACCCGCCAGTCCCACAGCCACTCAGACCCAACCAAGTAAACACAGAGACTTATATTGCTTACAAACTGTATGGCCGTACCAGGCTTCTTGCTAACTATTCTTTTATCTTAAATTAATCCATTTCTATAAATCTATACCTTGCCACATGGCTCGTGGCTTACCGGCATCTTCACATGCTGTTTGTCTTGGCGGCGGCTGGCAGTGTCTCTGACTCAGCCTTCCACTTCCCAGAATTCTTCTCCTCCTTGTCCCGCCTATACTTCCTCCTGCCTGACTACTGGCCAATCAGTATTTTATTTACTAACCAATCAGAGCAACACATTTGCCATACAGAACATCCCATAGCACCTGGGTTCAATTCTCAGCACCAACATGGCAGCTCACAACTGTCTCTAACTCCATGATCTGACACCTTCACACATACACAGGCAAAATACCAATGTAAATGAAATAAAAGTAAATAAATTGCCGGGCGGTGGTGGCGCACGCCTTTAATCCCAGCACTCAGGAGGCAGAGCCAGGCGGATCTCTGTGAGTTCAAGGCCAGCCTGGGCTACCAAGTGAGTTCCAGGAAAGGCGCAAAGCTACACAGAGAAACCCTGTCTCGAAAAAACCAAAAAAAAAAAAAAAAAAAAAAAAAAAAGTAAATAAATTTAAAAAATTTCCAACTAAAAAGGAAAAATCAGAACCTTGATAAGAAACAGAACTTATCATCAGAGAGTCTTTCCTTCCTTGGTCCAATCTGGTTCAGGTCTCCCTATGCCCGGGGAGTCTCAATATACCTGTTGGCTCCCTTGCTCTTTCTAAAAATAGAAATATCCATCCTGTCTTTTGCTCATGGTGTCTAAAACCAGGAATGTCACTGTCCCATTCCTCCATAAAAAGTCACCCTCTGCTCAAAGTTTAGCTCCAACAGATCTTTGCTGTGTCCCCCGCTAAGAGCATTCACTCCAATAGCATATGACCTTGTACCTCATCCTTCTCAATTAGTGATATTGACTCATAAATGCCATATAAACTCAGAACTAGCCTTTTCTGTAAACTCAGTTGAGGGAGCATAATAATACCTCACAAAGTAACCAGAGCCTACATAGCTCTGGGTTCCAGGGGTTGGGCCTGCAACCTAAGCAAGGCTGTCCTTCCCAGAGCAGTTTCAACAATACAGAGAAGCGTTTGACTGAAGGATGTATCTGTTAGTCAAGACCCTGGGTAGTCATGGTTAGCTCACGCTCTCTGAATAAAATGTCTAATATCTATTGGCTCCAGATGGGGAATGTTCTAGAGAAGACTGCTAAGATCATTTGATGTTGTCCTCCTATTGCTACCCTTCCTATGGGCCATATCCCTCTTCAAACACGACAGCACCAGTTTGGAGGGTAGAGGGTACAATAAAGTTACACAATGACTCCTTTTCAAGCACCGACAGAACTGGAGCTCTCACTAGACAAAGAGAAAACAACACAGGGTATTATTTTTTTGATGTAAGGTCTTTCATAGCCCAGGATGGCCTCCTTCAGTCTTGAGTGCTAGGATTACAGGCATAAGCCACCACACCTTGCTTGACCATATCATTTTAAAAATTAACTATTGCAGGGTTTTGGTTCTGTACTACACACTGCCATCCACTATCCAAGATCACCACAGTCATTAGTAGGATTCTACCTCACCACCTCACACACAATAAAGTGGTATTTGACCAGTGAGCTACATACCCAATCTCAACTTTGTTTTCCAGATCTAATCTTGGGCTTGTTGTATGCTAAGGTCATGGTTAGTAAAGTTTACTAGTTTAAAAAAAAAAAAAGTTCAGTACAAAAGACCACCAATTAACTTTGCAAACTAAGCTTTTAAAGATGAATGTTCTCCATTGGGGAAGACTGGTCTGCTTACTCAGGGACTTCTGATTTCTCCTGGGAGTGGGTTCAGAAAAATGAGTGCAAACTTCAGGGCTCCTTCCCGTTAGCATTTCAATTACAGGAACCAGGCCAGGAGAAAGTCTTCAACTAGAGGGAAATAAGCACATGTGTGCACAAGACTTACCTCTCAGGTAATTCCAACTTCAACTGATTCAAAAATAGCCTTTATTTTTAACTCATGAGTTCTTACTGGGACCTTCAGCTTACTCTTAAAAAAAATGGCTCCTACTTTAACGTGTTTCCTTATTCCTCCACATGAATAAACTGAGCTTGGAGTTAAGAAGCTAAGTTAAAACACACGCACACCTGTGATGGGTTTTGAATGAGGCTATCCTGTTATAACTGGTTAAGAGAATGAAACAGCAATGAAAACAAAGACTAGAATTCAAAGGCAAGGATCTGCAAAGATCCAGATGTGTTATTAACGACTCCAAAAAGGATCTAAGATCAGAAACTGATCAACAGAAGTCGGTTTTGGATTCTTTTGCAAGTTTTGATTTTCTTACACTTAGAAACACCTAAAATTGAAAGGCAGAACTTTTGAAAACAGCCTCATTCCACTTAGTATCTTCAACTACCTGCTGGAGCCATCCGTCCGACAAGGAGCGAGCAGCGGCTCCGTCCGCGTCTCCCGCGGTGGCCATCACGTCCAAGCGTGGGCCGTCCCCGGCGGTTTTCCGGGGTCAAATGTGCGCCCCGCCCCGAGGGTTCCGCCTGCCGGCCCCGCATCTGCAGGGACGCTAGCGGCAGACATCCGCTGGCTGGTGACTGAGTCCCTAAACCGCCCCAGGCTCCCAGTCCCAGCGGGTTCAGCGCCTCACCTGCACCGGTCAAGAGGATCGCGGGGAGCGCGCCGGACGCGGAGAGGAAATGCCCTGCTGGGCAGGCGCCGCAACCAAACCGCCCCGGGCGGCGCCCCCTGCAGGCCGCACGCGGCTCCTCCCGTTCCTGCGGCGCCCTCGCCTTGATGCCCCGCGGCGCGCACACCTGGCACACTTTTTTCTAGAACCACGCACTTACCTATCCGAGACCACCTTCCTCTGAACTGAACGAAAGCGCCCTACATCCCCCCTCCCCCAGACAGACAGACAGGCACACAGGTACGCGCGGGCGCCTACACACACACACACACACACACACACACACACACACACACACACACACACACACACACACACACACACACACACACACACGGCTGCCCTACACCAGACACAGGAACAACCACTTCCATGGGAGTAGGCTCTACATTACACACGCCTGTGTTGGACCCAGACACACCTGAGACCCCACTACTTCAGAAAGACTCATAAACACAAAATTTGAGACACACCTCCTTACAAAAACCCTAAAGTGACACTAAACTCAGATAGAGTTGAGGAAGACTCCACAGGACAGATTCATGCATCACCGAGGCCTCACACCTGCTCATACACACTCCTACTGGATACAGGTAATATAGCCATTCTGCCCACTTACCAACTCTTTTTAAAATAAAACTTGTTTAGGAGCTAGTGGAAGGACTAACTTCCATCTGTATCCTATCCACTAGCACTAAGTGAGAGCCAGAATAGGTGGGTGAGGAATAAAAGCTGAGGGCAACTTCTTTTCTGGAGATTTTCCTCATGGAGGGTGTAGTGCTTTTAGAGTCCAGAGGAAAACGATATCAGCAATGGTGAGAGATCTCTCTCCTCCAAGAGACACAAGTTAAGTATAAGACTATTGATTTCCTTTCATCATGTCCTGTCCCTTTGACGTGTGTGTGTGTGTGTGTGTGTGTGTGTGTGTGTATGTGTGTGTGTGTGTATGTGTGTGTGTAGTACTTGAAATCGTTTTGTGAAGAACCAAAGCACCCCCATTTCAAGCAAGCCCCTCACCCCAGCTTGAAACAGGCCTGAGTTTCAAAATTCTCAGAGCTGCTGACATAGGTCCCAGGACAAAGTCAGGATGTCTGAAGGGCCATCTGGTAGCAACTGATTAACCATAGAATGCCCCAGTGCCGGAGATGGTCAAAGTACAAAGGTAGGATGTTTGAAGGACTATCAGGTAACAATTGATTAACCACAGAATGCCCCAATGCCGGAGGTAGTCTATAAAGTTTGACAAACAACAGGTTAAAACTACAAAGTAAGATAACACAGAAATTCTGGAAAGCCCCTAAAACTTGAGCCAATCAGAATTGTACCCGTACTAGCACCCCTAAATGATGTAACCTTGAGGTTTTTGCCTTTAAAAACTGAGCTTGCAGAGGGGCGGGCACCTCCTCCAGCCTCCACTGTGTCGGGGTGCTTGACTGAGGTCCCTGCTTCGTGGCTTGAACAGCTTCAATAAACCTTGCTTTTGCATTTCGGTGAGTTCCTGTCTGGTGCTCTCTTTAGGGGTCTCGCGCCCAGGGCACAACATTTGTAGTTTTGGTTTTTGTGTACACATAGCCAATGTTGAAGTGGTTGTATTTTAAATAGATGTCCAAGTCTAAAAGAAATCTAACTGATCATATTCATAAACCAATAACTCTTTCTACAGAGGATCATGAGAGGAAAAAGGTGTTGGTTTTTTGTTTGTTTGTTTTGAGACAGGATTTTTTGGAACCTGTCCTGGAAATCACTCTGTAGACAGGCTGGCTTCGAACTCAAGAGATCTGCCTGCCTCTGCCTCCTGAGTGCTGTATTAAAGGCGTGCGCCACCACCACCTGACGAAAAGGGGGTCTTCAGGGAGGACCCCAGAAGGGGAGAAAAGGGAATTAATAGGATGGATACACATGACATGAAAGTAGAAGATGGGTATGGGAGGGAGGACTGGAGAAGAGGATCAATAAAAACATAGTATATATGAAAGTCTCATAAGGAAGTCTATTATGTGGTATGGTAATTTACAAAACAAATTTTAAAAAGTTGTTAAAAGTTAAGGGTCTAAGTATGCTTGAAGGCACTGGTTTACTGCAATCTCCTCATTTCACAGTGGAGAAATTAATAAAACCAGTAATGATCACATTGCATTTATTGGCAGCCACCGGGGCACAGAGTAATTAGGCAACTAACCAGGTTCCAGGTAAACATAGTGAGCTGGGACTCATCTGTCTTTAGAGTCGCTGAACCTTGAAAATAATGACTCACAGCAGGAAAACTGACCATGAGACCATTGGTCTTGTTCCCAAATTCTTCCAATTTTATCATGTTATTTGCTGAGGAGTAAAAGCTACCATGCAAATACTTTATCAGGATATTTTTAAATGTGTATGCGTGTTTTGTTTGTATATCTATACCTCCTCATATGTCTGTGAAAACTATTATTTCCCATTTTACTGCTGAAGCTTGGTAGAAACAAAGAATAACCTCAGCATCTCACAAAGAAACACGTTCACAAAGTTCAAATAGCTCAGCAAGGCAATTCTTTTAGTAAAAATGGTGCACCAAAACCCAAAGTAGGGTAGCAAGCACACCAGGGCCAAGATGGCTCCTGTCTTTTATTCCAAACATAGGTGGTGACTGAGTCTCATCCCATTGGCAGGAGGGAAGTCTCACTCTGACACAAATGGCCAATCTGCTTGAAGGGAAAGGTTCAAAAAATGAATCCTTTGATTTAAAAATATCTGCCCCCCCCCAAAAAAAAACCTAACTACATTTGACAGGAAAAAACAAAAAGGTTCTCATGGCAGTTACTAAGAGATTAAATTACTTACTACACACTATCTTCATAGAGCGACTATTACAAGGTGGAAATTTAGACCTTTAGAGCTGGAGGTAACCAGAACATAAACTGTAAAATTGGAGGTCTGTGATACCATTGCAAAAGTTTAGTGCTGTGTATGCAACCAAGTGGAGAAATGTCTCCTGATGTCATCACAGAGTTGGTGCGAGCGTAGCAGTGAGGGAATGTTCCAGTGGTATAAACAATAATGGGCAGGATGTTTGGCAGAGCCTTGTGAAGATTCTGACAATTTCAATTCCCAAAGTGTGGTCTAGAAGTAGGTAAACACTATTGCTGGTGAGTATGGCAAATTGCATTTTCAAAGGTATACCTAACAAGCATTCTCATTCCACCCATAACCAGACTTTGTCTTCCACCCTCACCAGGTGGAGGTGATGGAACAGGAGGACAGGAGCCAGGCTGGGTGAACCCTTGGAGCTGGCTAAGTTCCCAAGGATCTCCAGCTGGGCCTGGAATTGGGCCAGCACTTGGGTCAGGCTCAGAGCTATTGGGGGTATCCCCATGTCTGCTACCATCTGAGCTCTGTGGAGGGATGGCATACTGTGGATCTCAGGTTGGAGTGGGCCTAATGCTCCAAGTTGGCCTGGAGACTTTGCAGCCTGAGGGCCATACAGGGTCAGAATGGAGAGCAACTTGGAGAGGGCCTCTCATGATCCATGTACTGTCCACACCAATGCTATGAACCAAGTCCTGGGGAGTCACAGGACATGAAGGCCCTGAAGAAATAGATCATTTTGCAAAGCAGCTGAAGCAGAAGAGGGTCACCCTGGGGTACACTCAGGCTGACATGGTGCTCACCCTGGGTGTCCTCTTTAGAAACGTGTTCAGCTAGACAACCATTTGCTGCTTTGGGGACCTGCAGCTCAGCTTCAAGAACACGTATATGGAGTTTGCTTTCATTGTGGCAAGGTTAGCCACTGGGCAAAGAAACTGCCCTTGCCTTTGACTGCTGACAATGTGCTATGCAGACTGGACATGCAGGGCACACAGGAAAAAGAATGTTGAACTTTGCCAAAACAAGTCAGGACAGTCCTTCAAAATTTCTGCTTCACAGAAGAGTCTGCCAGATATTCTGTGAGACCCAAAGGAAAGCAACTAACGAACTTTGCCAATTCAAGGCAGGACAGTCCTTCAAATTTTCTGCTTCACTGAAAAGTTTGCCGGATATTCTGGGCCTGTAAGTTGTCCCTTTTTTTTTTTTTTTAGTTGTTGCTGCCTTTTAAGCCACAGTTGTCCAAATCAGCAACTGCAACTCCACTGCTACCAGCAGCAGGTAGGCTGCAAGAGCCACAGCTGGAGGGAATTCTGTTTGCTCAGGCACTCTTTCAAAACTATGAAAAGAACTTAACTAAATCTCTGTCCCTCTAAAGAACTCAAGATTCAAAATTTAGGGTGGAATTCTGCTCCTCCGAGAGGCTGAATAGCAAGTAGCTCACCTCTTCTCCTTGCTCACCTCCTCCAAAAAGCCCCCATGCTTCTTCTTGCCCCTACTTAAAAAAAACAAAATCAAAACCAAAAAACAAACAAACAAACAAACAAACAAAAAAACCAACCCCATCTGGCTCCTCCCTTATCACTTCCTGTTAGCTAGTTGTTGACTCAGCCTTCTGACCGCAAGTGAATTTTATTTAATCAAACATATCTTTGCATCATTAAACAAATGTTCCAAAACATAAACAAAGGTAACACACCTTAAAATAATATTCTACAACACCTGTAGGCTGAAGATGGATGCCTCAATGTTGCAGAGGAACTTTGGGTGACTGTCCAGGCAGCCAAATGTCTGTTGTTAGATAATATTACAGCCTTCTGGGTCTTTGATGGAGTTGAAGACTAGATAGTTATAGTTGCAGTTTTTCTTAGTTATGATGGAAAGTAAATTGTTGGAACCAGCCAACGAGTCAACCAGGTAGCTGGGTGGAGGCATGCAGTTTGTAGAGACAACGAAGAAGGCAGAGCAGAGGCGAGCGGACTGCCAGTCAATGCTGAACAGTGCCGAGTTTATTTCACAGCCAGCTTATATACAAACTTGAAGGGCAGAAGTAGAACAATGCACAGCACAGTCATTCAACCAACATCTATCC